TGAATAAACATTTTTATCATCCATATGGTCAAAATTCTTCCCTACTGGCTAGAAACACTTTTTGTGTCTCTGTGACGCCGCATACAGCAGTGGTCCCAACACTGGTCCTTGAGGAACACCATCCTGCATGTTTTAGTTGTTTTCCTGCTGCGACACATCTGACTTGAGTGAACGGGCGATTAACAGGTTCCTGCAGAACTCGATGAAGTAACTAATCACTGGATGTGGTGCGTTGGAGCAGGAAACACCTACAACATCCAGGATGGTGTTCCTCGATGCTGTGAAAACGGGTTTTTCACGCGCCGCCATTTAAACTCTCAACAGTCTCGATCTGCAGCCGTCCTCCCAGCAGAACCACTGATGTCTCACAGCTTTCATGAAAATGCATTTAACGTTGGTTGTTCTTTGTTGGGGCTGAAAGAAGACGTCCCACAGATCTGACAGAAAGATGGACGTCACAGTAACATAACACAAAGAGCGCACAACAGAAATGCTAATTTAACACGGTGAGGGCGTAAACTGACAAAAAACAGACGATGCAGGAGAAAACTGCTGATTAAAAATTAACAGTTGTGATTATCGAATCTTTTTATTTAAGGACAACAAGCAAAACAATGATTATAACAATAATAATTATTAAAAAGTTCCTGAAGAAACGTTGAATGCTGCCAATAAAACTACAGCGGAAATACACAATTCATTTTCCGTAAAGATTGGGATTTGTTTCTTAATAATCCAAGTTATGACAACGCCAGACTCTTATTTTGAAGAGCACTTATAAGCTTTAGCCTAATACTTCCTGTTGAAGCCTTTTTTGTTGCAGATGATTTTAGTCAACTCTTCTTAAATTAAAGGTGAATAGTAACAGAACTGACCAAATTCTACAAGGTTTGTGGAGACGTCCATGATTGAGTCGTATAACAAGGAAGAACTTTAAGCATGTCCACCTTACATCTACTAGCATATTTAGCTACATCTACTAGCATATTTAGCTACATCTACAAGCATATTTAGCTACATCTACTAGCATATTTAGCTACATCTACTAGCATATTTAGCTACATCTACAAGCATATTTAGCTACATCTACAAGCATATTTAGCTACATCTACTAGCATATTTAGCTACATCTACTAGCATATTTAGCTACATCTACTAGCATATTTAGCTACATCTACAAGCATATTTAG